CGTGTGTGTGTGTGTGTGTGTGTGTGTGTGTGTGTGTGTGTGTCAGTGGTTAAGAATATGAAAGAACAGAACACTGGCTGGTCTTGCAGAGGCCAGATTTCATGGTCAAGCACCTGCATGGGCAGCACACAACTGTCTGTAACTCTAGTTCTAGAAGTCTTCTTCTGGCCTCCTTGGGCACTGAACACTTGCGATGCACAGATATGTATGAGCTCAAAACGTTCATGCATATAAAATAAGAACAAACCTTTGTTTGAAATCCACATTTTTGGAGTGATTGTAGAGGAGACACATGTGCTATTTGCACATACATGGAGGTCAAAGGGCAACTTGCAGGAGGTGTTTTTTTTCTTCCACTATGCATGTCCCAGAGCTAGAGTTCAGGTCACAAGCAGCAGCAAATGCCTTTACAAAATGAGCTATTTTGGAGACATTTTGTCCTTCCTTTGAGACACAGTCTCAATACATAGACCAGTCTGGATTTGATCTTACAGAGACAAACATGCCTATGCCTCCTAGGTGCTGGCATCAAAGGTGTGTGCCATCATGCCTAGTCCTTTTACAATCAGATCTTATGATGACTCCTTCTTTTTTGGATCCTGGAATGTGACTTGTCCATCAGTATTCACAAATGACATATATTGTTTACCCTGAGCTTCCTTCCAGCAGAAATATAAAATAACAGAAGTATAGGTGCCGCTTACCAAGAGAGAGTCATTAAAAAGAATTTAACCTCATATTTAAAGTTCTTCCATAAGATGTTGATATGCAAATCATTTATGACTAAAGGCTTACCTCTTCTGCAGCTCTGTGTTGTTGAAAAGAAGCCTTTTAAAAACACTCACTAGCAGTTTCCCTTCTGAAAGAACAAGGACATAGCACTGCAGACTCTTAAGTCTTACATTGTGACATTCCTGAGGAATGCTGGGTTTAGGCTTCAGTCACCCAACAAGAGCCCTTCTGATTACCTGGTCACAGTCCTTCTGCTTAGGGCATTATCACTAACACTGCCATTTTCGGGCCCATCTTTGACCTAACTTGAAATATTAACTTTCATTATTAATCATTCTATTGTAATTGGTTACCCTACAGTAAATTTCAGTGTTAATTGGCATAATTTTAATATCTGAGAAAATAAGAAAGCTGTTACCTACTTACGTCTCAAACCATTTGCCAACTCCAGCAGATGCAGCACGTTTGAGGTTTCTCTCTTCTTGAGTTCCCTGGTTCTGTATCCAACATTTCAGTTTCCTTGAAATGAAACTAGTATAGACCTCAATTAGAGTCCCCGGCTACCTTTGCTTGCCAAACTACTTCATCAATATAATTTTACTGTTCAATGGTACTTTTGATAATTTCCAGATCTCTGAAAATTACTTTAATGTAGGCTAAATGACTTGTAGACAAGGTAACCTCGTGTAAAGCCTACACAGGAATCACCAAGACAAAAGGTCACATACTGCTATGGTTTGTGATGTTAGAAATTACTGATGTCTGGAATTAGATGCCACACAATTTGAGGGGTACCCATGGGTTGGCTCTCCCTTCTTGCAAATTAAAATTTTGGAAACATTTCCCTGGATAAGGCATT